TACTGTAAACTTACAGCTTATGCTGATGATATAGAATTTTTATCACAAATAAACAAGAATTCGCATCACTTGCTGTATGGTTGGTATTTATGAACGCGCGTCAAATTGTACGATATTGTACTGGTTTCGCGATGTTATATAATGGTCGGACATAATACATTATTGAAATTTATGTAATTTATTCATATTGTATCAAACACTAATATGGTATACATCGAAATGTTGTATAAAAATATGTTCTGGAAATTCTGGTATTTTATTGTCTTCCGTAATTTGTTCAAATGCAATAAAGTATGAAAACATTAACATAGCCTGGCCCTAATTGGCATCATGATATTTACTTAATTAAATGACGTAATCATATCGATATTCAGGGGTACAATGTTCATTGTTCTTGAAAGTGGGTGAATGTGTGTAAACTTACCAGTGCGTAAAAGCCAGACACGTACATGCAAGTAATTTCAATCAACTGGAATGCTGTTTATCGTAGGATACATTGTAGTTCCTGTGAAAACGAAAGCGCTGATATTCAAGTTACACTAGGTTTAGTATCTGTACTATTGTTACTAGCGATTGTGTTCTGTTGCCGGCGCTGTTATAGATTGCCCAAAGCGAAAGGTCGCATTTGTTGTGCTTAGTGAACTAATGTTTCGTTCACAGTATTTTAAACACAATACAAACATAAAGTAAGGTTTGTAACATCTGGCTTGGACCCAAATCTATGGGTTACTTGTTTGTTTCCGATTCAAATGCGCAGCTTTACTCGACCAATAACCGCAGTCACCTGCTGTTTACGTGTAAATAAAATAAATGCGATTTATTTACTATGTATGGCCGCCATCTTGAAGACGACATGAAACTAATATCAGGAAAAATACCACACTTTCACAGCCAAACGATCCGTTGGGGAGAATAGTGAGGGTCGTCACAAATTAGGTCCTGTCGTCACAAGTGTAAAGTTATACTAAGTTGGTAACAAACGAACATAGTACACATTAGGGTTTATTGATTGTTGACGAGTACGTTTCGGAAAGTGATGAGTGGTGCTTATTCTTAGAAGTTTACAAGTAAACCAAGACGTAAGTCACTGACAAGGTGTTTAGCATAAGAATTATATCATAGTCTATCACGTTTATCAATCTCTAGACATTTCGGTGACAACATGACATTCACTGGGGTAGTGTTTACCCTTGCAAAATGTACAAAGTCTCAGTCGTGAGCGAGACCCGGAAGTAGGCATATGGAAAGCAGAAATAGGTGGTGACGTTTGACCCTAATGATTACATCGTTCATATACCTGCTGTCAGTGCGTTGATTTCACCGGGGATAGCAGCGCGTAGATCAGTAATTCTATGCTGAGTTGCCGTGCGATCTTTCGAGTTGAACAGAAATATTCAAGTTCTTGGATAGTTATATAATTGCGTAATATAATAGGAACAACGAGTTTTCCGTAAGTCTTTTCCGAGTGATTGCAACCCCCGATAGTATGACTAAGATGTGGACGACTGTCCACATCATCGTAGAAGCTTTGAGCTGGCACAGTGCGTCCATGTGCGCTGATTATCGCGAGTTTGTGGCTGTATCTTTCTCATAGTAAAGTTATTGAATGAGCATAATTCACATCGATTAGCGCAACACCAGACACATGCACAACCTCGCCTTATCTTAATGAATCGTAAACACTCGTCGAGTACCTTTCCCAGTGTTTATACACTGGATTGAAATGATAAACGCTGTAAGTGTTTCCAGGCAACCACTATAAAAACGAAAGAACTTTCGTTTTAATGTTAGGCTATAGGAAAGGCCAGTGAAAATTTCCTGTTTTCTAGCTTTCTAGTTGAACACTATATACACAACTTTGAAACAGGGTTTTCAGATGACAAATTATTAATTTATTCAATTCTTTCATATAACTTCTAATATATCTCAGTAATAACGTGAATGATCTAAACACACGTAATTATGAGGTATTTGTTTTTAAAATCATAATTCTCAACACTAATTGCAAGAGATCAAAACCACATATGATAATAGCGGTACATGCATGTTTTACTAATTATACACAGCAATAAACAGGAATTATTTTCTGGTTTGCATAGTCAACTTTGAGTGAAAAAACACACACCTTTACAATTCGAGCTAACCAAAAATAAATAACATTTATACAGTTCAAATATCATCCTTAATTGATCTCTACATAAAAACAAAAACGTGTAATATCTATAGCGCCAATTAAGTTCTAGTATTTTTTTTACGTCGCTTATATTTCAATAAATAGCCCCAAACTGGATATAAGGGACTATAGTCAGCTGGCGTGCACGTGATGATAAAACAAACGCGATAAAAGCGGCCGCCTTCTTGACTCTCGCCAAATCTAAACAAATTTGGATTCAAGGCGGCTAACCTCATATATGAAATATCAACAAATATGTCGCATTTATTTTATTATCTCTAATACGCCAAATGACTGTGTATGTGACTATAAATATTAAATCGTCGATTTTATGACACAATTATGCTACCATTTATACTACGTACTGAGATTTCGACCATGAAAGGTTAAGAGTCACAAACAGGAAAAGCACCAGCGTCGATTTTATTCTGACAACGGTTGTCACCTCATTTAATCGACCGGGTCGGCTGCCCTGGAGCTTTACTTTTATACTGTCAAAGATTTAAAGCGAGAGGGTCGTCACCTGCGCACGCGCTGGAAATGAGTCTCAAGCGACGATAACAACACACGCTAAAAACGCAAAGGCTCATGGGTAGACGTTTGTCTGTAAACAATGACACGCTTTCGCTGGTTCCCGGCGTCCATTGCGAATGGCAGGTAGGACGCAGGTAACTAGTAATCGCCATATTGTTCCATTTGGGCCGGTTTTCCGGCCGGAAGGAACGCGACTGGGTGACGTAATTTGAAAACATTCCAAGTTCCGTTTTGCGTAAACGTGTCTGTAATGCTACAATAAAGCCATGCTCATACATACTGCCTGCTTAGATTTACAGATTTGATATGTTCTGTGCAAATTTATAACAAAAGAAACAATTCTTTTTATTCGCCCAACTTTCGAAAGCAAAAGGAAACCCCTGAACGGCCACGAGCGTAAGCGCTGACGTCAGGTAACTAAGGGAAATGGAACAAGCAACGAGAAAGTGGTGTACCAATCAGAATGCCAGAACCGTTACCAGTTACCGGCCTCTTGTGGCTTGGTACGCCATGACACTTGAAGCGGGAACCAGCCAATGACACGCTATGGCAATCTGACGCATGCGCAAGTGACGACTCCCCCGCTTTAAACTGACAACGTAACGGCTGTCACCCCACTGAATCGACCGGGTCGGCTGCCCTGGAGCTTTACTATTATACTGCCTAAGATTTAACATTTAGAATGGAACAAAAACAAGCTTAGCTTCGCGAAGTCAAGTAGCCAAAAAATGCACAAACAACTGCGTACTCTGACCTACTTGCGTACGACTAATACTTTCGTGGAAAGTTCATTTCATCAAATGACCATTTCGTGGAAAGTTGATTATAATTTTGACTTTCGACGAAATGGTCTTCCGACTAAACGGTTTCCGACGAATTAAATTGCATATACCCAATACAAGGTCCTGTTCGCACACAGCTCACGTCTAATCAAACACGTCAACAAATCAAGTCATATGAATTCAGTAAGATGTGTCACGGCGGGGTTTACTCAAACGTTATTATCTTATAAATAAGCACTGTATGAAACCGCACCTTCTCCAAAAGGACGCAATAAAACACCCATAGTCTATTGAATACACTTTTCATTTTATACGTAATTTTTTACTGGAATTCAAACTGCGCATTTTGTACAACGATTATTTTATCATAAATACGTCGTGCCGCGTCCTGTTCGATACAGGACCCATAGCGACGTATACAACGCCTGTAAAATACATTGTTTATTTACATGAAATTTGAACACGCGCTGCGCGACGACCACAGCGCTTTAAGTATAACACAGTGGATACTGAATTGGACATTTTCATGTTGAAAATATCAACATACAAAAATAAAACAACGACTTCTCAGTTACTGACGTCAGAATGAGGCACGCTGCTTCCGCACACACATAATAACATTTGTTCCTGTATTCAAAGAAATTGTGGTCGTAAATGAAAGTATGCAAGGAGACAAAACAAGTGTGTTCAGTATTGTAAATAGAATTCATACTATAGTAGGAGCGGCAAACAAAATGAAAGTGTGTTCGTTAGTTAGGTTCAAAAACTGCCAGCTAATTACCACCACGATTTCAAATAGTGGATCGATAGAAAATGATGTAACGAATAAAAAATTATCAAATTGGAAAATATTTCTTCAACAACCGGCAAGTTATAAGATCAGTATAAAATTCAGAACTTTCCTTTTTTAATTTTTAAAATTACATGATATAATAATGTTTATACACAGATGTCTTCACTGTGTAGATTGTAACATTTTTGCCACATATACAAAAAAAAAAAAAATAACACGTTAGACATATGAGGTTGCCTGACAAGGCCATATTCAGCACTACAGCACCAAACATGAGTGTCGTATAATTAATACCATAAAGTTGATATATCGGTTTACATAAACGTACTATTGATGTATTTGTGTTGCCTAGAGACTAGACCACAACAAACCCGATTCTTATCTATTGCTGTATAAAATGTAATTGTTTACGCAAACACGCTTGTCACTTGCAGAACATGTTGCGATTCTGTCTGGTAGCCCACATCAGTGTTTACAACGGTTACCATTAGCAACAGCTAACAGAATGGTCCCAATCGACGGTGTTACTCTAGAAACGCAGTGTTCGAGACCCCCTGTTCTCCCCTAAAAAAACAAAACAAAATGCCAACATACCCGTAATGCACAACAAAGTCAGAAACTGGGTTGTTATTTACACGACCAACTTAGAGGGTCTCATATACCACGGTCTTATAAAGTCGGTTGCTATCCAAAGTTTTCAACATTAACCCACTAAAGGAACCTACGAAGCAAACTTGAGAAGCAATCTTTTAAACAAAACAAACAACAGCAACAACATTATATTTACAAAGAATCTTGCTTTTCATATTTTTCAACATGGGTTGTGGTTCATCTTCATCAACAAAGACCGAAGACGGAAAGGTAGGCAATATATTGATACTCTCCTGACGTTTTTCATATTTCAAATTCTGAAGCGAAGGAACAGTTCACCTTGCATATGAAGCTAGCCACGTTACTCTGTATTTAATTAACGCTTCGTCAGCCAATCACAAGTCACTCTCACAATAATATGAATGAAATATTTAATTTTAATATTGACGCGAATCATCCGCGTCTCTTAGAATGCAGCCGGAGGGCAGCGCGGATTTTGAAATTTACGACTAACAAAAAAAAAAAAAAAAATTTGACAAATTGTTAACACCTTGAAAATACCGAGTTCCAATCCTACCATTGTAAATGTGCGTTCCAGTCGTTCTGTCCCGCTTTGGAATTGAATATAGAATACTTTTAACTACTATATGCCAACGACAATACGATTCAGATAAGTCTGAAATATTTCGAAGTGATTCCCTCATTTAAAAAAAAACAAACACATGGACGGGTAAGTCGGACATCGACACCAAGTACTATTACTAACCTGTATTATAATAGCACCACCAGCGGTAAGTATAACATATTGGTAATCATCGTCGAGGGAGTCTCAAAACCAGAAACCACCAAATGACTTCAAAAAAATCTGTGTCGACTGTTAAATAATGTATTGTATATGCTTTTGATGATTTTATTGTTTAACCATTTAAATGTTGTGAAATAAGACAGCGGAGTAACAAGAAACGAAACAATTCTACTTAGGGGAAAGACGAACGTTGGAATGAGTAACAACTCTTGCCAACTAAATAAGATGTCGTAATGGTATATTACGGAGGCATCCACATACACTGCAAAACTAAAACCAACTGGCTTGTCTTCCTAGTACCAATTACTTAGGGGCCTTGCAGTTATTTATTGGGTATTGACTAAGAATATCTTGAATTGCAGTTTCGGAGAGTGTGCTTATCCATGTGTGTGAGTGCGTGTGTGAGTGTTGGTGTATGCGCGTATGTTGCAAGTGTCGTCTCGTACCTCTAGGGGCGACATCCTGGATGGAGCACGTCCAAGTGAAATTCAACCATGGTCAGTACATACATATATAACTGCATCAAAATTTACCTACTTCTATATGTGACGTGCATATCAATGGGGAGGCTAAATCAACTGACCGAGATTCACTCACTAACGAATGTGCAAAAGGAACGTTGGTTGGTCCGCAGGTGCTTGTGTTCGACCGGGTCTGGTTGACGCCTGGATAGCGCATTAAATTGTCGCAATGCGAATATGATAGGGAGATGGTCCAGATGGTCACATAGCTCTGTCACGTAGTCCCAAATTCGCACATATAAAAACCAGGAGAGACAAAAGTGGCATTCTATATGCCTGGCACACATACATACACACGTGTTTGATACGTAACACGTATGTATGTAAAACAGGGACGTCTGGTGGACCTTGGCAAATTGTACAAATATAACGCGCTGTGTCAACGCCCGTAAGAGTATCCTTGGGGCGGACATCCGGGCATTTTCACCGCCTGGCAACCTACGGCGGTGAAAACAAAGGCCCCAAACTCACAGAAAACGGTACTTTGGGATGACTGTTGAGACTCCTCTGAACAGTGTAATAAGATTAGCCCTACGTGTCTAACATATATAAATTTAGCTGTTCGGGATTACTTCAAAGTTGAGTTTGTGTTGTTTTCTCGAATTTTCACCGGCTCGACCGGCGTTCCACAGCAGCGCACACAGAGCCCATAGAAATGCATGGTACAGTGGTGCGCGTCTTAGCAACGTGGAACGTCTGTGACGTAGCTCCGCCCCCGAGGATATCCTCGGTAACTTGGTAACATGTAGACTGGTTACATGTAGACTTGGTAACATGTAGAATTGGTAATATGAAGACTGGTAACATGTTAGACTGGTAACATGTAATATGCCGGGGTAATATGTAGACTGGTAATATGTAATATAAGTTTCTCAAAATTAGGTATGAGGATGCTTTAATGTCTTTACAAAAAGATAGATTCCTTGAACATTTGAGATGACGATGTCATAATGTCAGAAATGTAAAAAAAATCAGTACGAGGGCACCATAACAATAATAGAGGGCCCTGCAGATTAACCAAGACTGCCAAAAATTCTCATTTTTTTTACATTCTGTCACCATCCTATTGAAGTAGATTGATCGAAGCAAAAATAAGTCATTAATATTTTATTGAAATAACTTTAGGTACACAGAAAAACAGCCATGAACATGATAAAAATCCGTGGAATTAATAAGAAAATTATTCTAAAAATACTGATCCAAAAAAATATCAGGTCTGTGAATAAACTCTCAAATCAAATAGCATTGAAATCTAACATTGAACTATAAGAAGTAAATTCATATGCAAATTAGCTAATTAAGTGCTATAGTTTGGTGTAAAAAATATTATATTTAAGTTGATAGTTCAGAATGTTTTCTTTTCCCATAAAAATACAAGGGCTAATTCACAAACTTAATTTCTTCGTTTGAGGGCGCACTCCAGATTCTGAGTTCTAGGGTTCTGGGTTCTGGGTTCTGAGGTTGAGTTCTGAGCTTCTAAAAAGTCAACTCTACTTTTCCTGGGGTATTTAAAATCGAAATTGTCATCTGACTGTAAGGCCGTCGCTGATTGGCTGCTGAGCTGGAATAAAAATTTTTGGTTTCAAATACCCCAGGAAAGTGTTCTCTGTTCTTCATGTAATTAGGTGTTCGTATGCAAGAGATTTTTCCACACACACACACACACACACACACAAATGCCGAATTCGGTCGAATTTTGTTATCGGTTGGCCAACGGATCGTATTTTTGTGAAAGATTAGTATTTTGTCCAGATTTATAGGAATCTGAAAAACGCGTTTCATAACTTGTATCTTATGTGGTTTTATGTTGCATTCAAGATGGCGGCCCCCATATAATAAATATTGTATTTATTTTATTATCACGTGTGCGCCAGCTGACTGTGGTTCTGACTGAAGTCTGTATGCACTGACTTGCTCAACATTGGCCTAAATACAGTTTTTAGTTTATTACATTTGTCTATATTTCAATTCATAATCAGAAACCAGGAGATAAAAAAGGTGGAGTAGAAAAACTTGACATAAAAGAAACTAAAATAGAAGACGTTGACAAGATATTCGAAGATGCAGCGGCCCCATTCAACAAGGCGGTTGAAGTTAAAGAGGCATTTGACAAGGCTTTAGAATCGTTTAAAGTCCTAACTGGACACACGGCTGAAGACACTATCAAAGTGGTGATGCTAGACTTGAAGGTCAAATTTCGTAAGTGATAAATGTTACACTTTTCCCCTTTCAACACGACCACATTTAACTACAAATTTTCGATATGACGTCATTTCGCATATTTACATTTAAAAATAAATGCCCTCAGTATTAGAAAATGTTCAGCTATGAATATTATATAAGTTTTACCACTTGTTCAAACAAAGATAAATTCTTGCACTCAGAAATATTCTATAAATTAACGATTTTTTATAAGTTAGTTACTTTCACAAAGTTTAAGCCAAAAGTTCAAGTGAAATTATGACATTTGTCGATTTCAAGCCCGCCCACCCACCCACAATTACTTAACGAACGTATGGTTTATTTGTGTTTTCAATTAAATACACATATTGTTTTTTACCACAGCCCAATTGACGTTGGAAATAGAGGAAGGACCGAGATTTGTACTAACAACCGGGAGTGGTGAAGGGGCGGAGCTCGCCGACTTGGCACTGAAAGTTGTCGACGTATTCAATGCAATCAGTGACTTGGTGACTAAGATAATTGATCTGATGAAACAGTCGGTAGAGTCTGCACAGGCGTTGATCGAAAAAGCTCCAGAAATCACAGATATGGTGAAGAACGCCAACCTCAGTCCATTCGAGCTGCCCAGAGCACTAAAAAATACAGTACACAACATTTCGGAATTCAAGAAAGTGCCCCAAATCGGGGCAGTATTCAAGAAAACTATTGAAGACGTCGTTGAAGATGTCAAAGAAACGAAAAAGGCTCTTCAAGGACAGGCAGCTTGAATTTTCCAAATCGGTATTTTTGCGACTGGCTAGATGGCCCAGTTAAAACTGTACATCGCCCGATTTATATATTTAAGGACATATCTATTCCATATTTCATAATTTCCGACGATATTTTTTTTAACATTCTCCAATACAATTTCCATACCGCTGAGTTATTAACGTAATCAAATAATTTGTGAAACATTACATCAATATAATTATGGAATATCGAATTAATCACTAAATAGATGAATGAAAGAATGAATGAATGCATGAGGACTGGGAGTTTCAGAAACTCCTCGTTAGAGTACATTAGCCGTATAAATAAATGAATGGATGAAGAATGAAAGAACGAATGACTAAATCAATGAATAGATAAATGGATGCATGAATCTGTGACTATGAATGTGTGATTAAATAAATGAACGGGTGAATAAAAGTGGAATGAACGAGTAATGGGTTAATGCAAAGATGGGTGAATGAATTAATGAATGGGTAAACAAACGGATGAATGCATGAATGTGGGATTAAATGAATAAATAAACGAATATACGGCTGGTCTATTATTGTGAACTTGTTATAGAGTATGTCGTTTCCCCATAAAAAACTTCATCGCGCCCTCGTTCGATAAAACTAGTAAAAAAAAGAGTTTACTTTCATCTACTAAAAGATCATGAGTATGACCGCTGAAGATTTATAAGAATAGTATGTAGTTGTACGCTGAATGCATACAAAAATCACATGCGCAACACAGTTAAAATTGAATACAAACTAATTTTTATTCGGCATGAAAAAGAAACGTATCCACGGTGAATAGAGCGGCGTAAACACAAAAATTAGCATAACAAAAGATGACCTTTCTGACCTTTTACTGACTGCATCAACGCTATTTGAAATACAGGGTCGTGTACAGTTTGGATCATTAAACCAACGGATTTTCCACGTTTTCATTCCGGTTTTTGTACAATTTGGATTGTAATTTGCCCATTGAAAGTACTCTTGTGAAATAAACCGGTTTTGTGACTCATCATACTACTTGTAACTGTGGATATTTGACGACCTGGATACCTTTGGTATAACCAAAGTTGTGTGACAGTATGAATGACAGGTTTTGTCGTTGTTCTGGGGTAAGTTTGATGGATTCGGATTCTCGCATCGTTAAACTTTTTGTGAGACGTACATGATATGCCTTGTCTCAACTCCGGTCGAACGAAAGACTTTGCACGCCGTCGCTCTAATGCGGTGGTTGGTGTACACTCCGGTACTCCGTCGGCACAAATCTGCAGCTTACGAAATTACCTTCATCTTCTCCTGTAATTTATTTACCCATAGTGGAGAATTACAATACCATATATCGTCTTCGAATTCTGCGTTGTCCCGTGTTCTTTGAAACATATGGCAATTACCCGGGTGAAATTTCACTACAATTTTGTCAGCTAGAATTCGAACGCCGCTACGGGACACCGGTTGTTATTGGTCGCATACATTTTTGCCTGTGACTCGTAGTTTTTTGCATTTTTTTTGTCCTTTAATCACTCAATCTCAACTAGCACTTACATATCATGTTTTATTTGTTGGAGGTTCGCAATCCATCTCAAAGTCACAACACGGAGAACACAGCGTTCTGGCATTCGTTTACGGTGTTGAGGGACGGTGGTTTAGGTTTGTGTGGCGAACAACAATCACCCAATGACCGACGCTCACAACTAGGATACCACCATTAACAAAAAGTAATATTATGGTTATATAACTTTTCACATGTTTTTAATTCAGTATTTTTTTCAATATTCTTCCAAAATTCAACCACTATATTTCCTTAAAAATCAAATAATAGCGGTTTTATGCATTTCCGTATTAAACCTGTAGTCAATTCGGGTTCCAGGGCCACTTGGTTTAGCCGTGCATTATCAGCCAATATACCATTGATTGCATAAGCAAATTTTGTTTTTGGACCAATCAAATCAATGATTTAACACCATCAATATACCGGTATAATATAATAACCAATAGACCGCAAACAGAAGGGGCTATGTCTGAAAGAAAAACAACCACAAGTTTTAAATACCCGAAATCCTGGAGAAATCCTACCATGCCTTTCTAAATGGTACCCACTAATCCCATGCTTGAGCAGCAGTTGTTGTTCCACCTATTCTGAACGAATGTGTTCCAAACTGTGCTGCATTTTGCCCAACTGCATCCAATTTGGCAACGACAAATTCCCTGATTCTCGTGTAGCTGAGCTTTTTATTTGCATGTACTAAACTGGATATGCCTTTGACCAATGATAAGTACTATTCGAATATTTTTACGGGACAAGTGATACCCTCTGTTCTGGCAATGTGAACCCAACTACATTTTTTAAATTGGTCTGTTTTGCTCTCCCTGGAGACAAATTGTGACATCACCCTGACTAAATCACTGTATCGGAAAAAACCCTGAAAATGCTAACAAAATATAACAAATATCTCTAAGGTCCAAAAAGTGAATCAGAGTCCTGGAAATGAACTAAAATGTCCTTGATAATGTCTGATGTAACTGGTTCTTTCTTCTATAGAGGTTTTTCTAAGAGACGACTGGCTGAGCTGATCAAATTTTGAATGAAAAGATTTTCAGTTGCTGATGGTACTATCAGGGGTAAAATCTCCTTCTCTCGGGTTCTCCACCACGTATCAGGGGGATAATTCTTCTCTCGGGGTCTCCACACTTGCCAGGGGGAAACTCGTCTTGTCTCTCTATCTCATCCCCTTGAGGTACGGGATCGGGAAAGTCACGTTAACTTTACAGTCAAATAAGACACACACAATGAAATACGTTTCAGCTCTCGTCTTAGTCGATCTTTTGGAGCACTCTATAAGACACAGCGCCCTGGGGAAAAGTCCCCAAGACTATATCGCAAGGCTGACCCAAGACTCTCTTAGACTGCGTCAAGGCTCGCCCCAAGTCTCTCCAGGACTGCCCTGTCGTGGAGTATTCGCCAAGACCAACTCAAACTCTCTTTATTCATTTTCAAAACTCTAACCAATTACAAAGCAGTAAAAAGACTCTAAGGCGTAAACTTCAATCATAAAGCCAATCAAACTAAGTACTGAATACGTCATATCTTTTGATTAATCGTTCACTACATTAATAACTATGAATGTCAGAATAGCGACGGTATCTTGTAATTAGTTCCAAATCACTGAGCCAAGTTCCGTCCAAAACTTCAAATAGACCTAAACGATGACAGACATAA